TTTTATTTCTTTTAGCAAGAGAAACATCAGACCCAAGGAAAATAGTAATATAAGTGATTCAGGACAAAAATGTACGAATCTTTTATAAACACCATTTAGAAACTTGAATTGGGATCTTGGCAATTTATAATATTCAAATTAATTAGAATTATGTCAAGGAGTACGTTTTTCATTACACAGAACAATGCTTCAGATTTGTGTAGTCTTTGTTTAATTCTTGAAAACCATTACCTATTTCTTGATCTTATGTTCCACGCTATCTAGTTGGTGGATGCTTCAAATGTTCTTTAATGGGTAGAGAGAAAAAATTTTATTTTTTTATTCAATTCAAAAGTGTGCTGTTGTCGCTATTAAACAGGTACTCCCAATCAAGTGGTTCAGAAATTCATTCCCCCAAGCACATTGAATTAATTTTTTACCCTTTAAATGGATTTTTTTTTTTTTTTTTTTTGTAGCTGTTGAATTTTATTTTTATTTGCAATACATTAACTTATGAAGTACCGCGGGGAGGAGTACATGACAGATTTTTTTTTTTTAAGTTAAACCCTTAAAGTCTCATCACAAAAGTTAGTTCTCACGGTAAACAGAACTCAAAGTTCATATAAATCTCACACAAGATTTCTTATATTTTCAATGTGGGACTCAAATCTCATACCTTGTAGTTGAGCCATGTCATTCAATTACAACGGTGAGATATAGTGGAATAGTTTGATACAAATTGACACAAATCTTGGGATAGTCTTATCCCAAAAGCTAGCTCATAAGGTAGTAGAGCTCAAAATCTATATAAACCTCGCATCACAGACCCTTATATTTATGATGTGGGACTTGTTGAGTGTGGCTCATACTTCGCATGCTGATGAAGGCCCTAATTATCGGGGTCAGCAGAAAGGCAACTGGGGTCCCGCTCCCAGGTGAGCGGGCGGGGTCCGGGGGCAGCGCCCCCGACCCGTAGAGGCTAAGTACTATTGTGGGCCTCTGTTTTATTGTAATTTTCTTAGCAGTTTGGCTTGGGCCCATGAATAGCTGCTGTTAGGATTTTCTAATCCTATTTATATTTCCTTGTAAACCGAGCGACTTGTAACGAGTGGCGGTGAGGAAAATATAGTACAGACAAGCTGGACGTAGCCTTAATTGGGTGAACCAAGATAAATCATCGTGTCAATCTCTCTACTCTTATCTCTTTTACTGTTTTCTCGATTTTGTGTGATTGTCGATTTCCAACAGGACTTAAGTCTCATAACTTGCAATTGTATCACAACAATTAATCCCAGATATATGATAAATGTTTACCCTACACCTAGCAAAGTCATTGTTTGAGGATAAAATTTATAACTTTTGAGAATTGTGGGAGGCCCAAAATATGAAAAATAAATCTTCTAAAGTGAATATAGTGAGTAAATAAATACATCTAAAGTGGTAGCAAAATTGGTCAACACGACATGACACATTTGACACGAACATGAAACTGTTTAACCCGTACACAACAGGTATTCGTTGATGGGTCAAAAACTTGAACCCAGACACAACCCGCTACGGGTTGTGGGTTGACACAACATGACACAAAAAATTGAGAATTTATTTAAAAAATAAATAAAAATACCAAAAAAAACCTAAAATTGACACGTAAAACCACAAATTGATAGGAGACGACACGGGTTGACACGATAAAAATAGGATTTTATAATGTGAATTACTAAACACGATACTAATTTGTGTCAAAAACTCGAATTTGTGCACGACCCGTTTGAATCCTCATGTTGACACGACACACGTTTTGGCATGTTGGGCTGCGGGTCATGATATGTTTTGCCATACTATTTATCTTTAAATTATTCAATTAGTTACGATTATACTATATTTTATAAAATAAATAATAAATATATATTCTTCATTTTCTTATTTTAGAAACAAGTTTCATTTAGAATATTTTAAAACAATAAAATAGAATGCACTCTACGTCTTTTGTCAAACAGGTGCAGCTTCGACTCACGTGCTGTGCTCAGTCCTCGCACATGCTCACATACAACATATCATTTATTAACCATCCCTCCCCCGCCTCGTCTTTTCCTTTTTTTTTGAGTAAGGGGGGATTAGATACCATTTATTAACCCTTTACTACTTTTTTACCTCTTCCAATCCATTGTGTATATTTTTATTTTAAAAATCTCCATTCTTCTATAAATTAAAATTATTCAAATTTCTAATTCAATGCTATTCTTCTACCGTGGCCTTTTTATAATGGTTTGTAAACAATTTCGTATACTAAAATTAACAATAGTATTTTTACATTCTTTTAATATATTATTCTTACACTATTTTTAAAGTAATAAAACAAACAAAATTCTAACACACTTTTTTGTGAATTCTTAATTTTTTTAAGAAAACGAAAAGATATGAGGGATGGAGTGAATATACAGGTGTGCATGAAACATATTTTCATTTAAAATCATTATGTGAATATTATCAATATATGACAAATTTTATTGTTATAATTTTTTTAATAATATACTTTTTAAATATCCTTCAAAATAGTTGTCGTACAAATATCAGTTTCGAATAGTTTCAAATACTTTTAAGATATCTTTGGATATTCCAATTATTTGTGTTTTTCAATGTCTCTACTATTTGATAAGATTTATGTTTTTATATTGATATTATATTAATTTTACATTTTACATTTTACATTTAATAAAATATATTGAAATTCACACACATATCAGTTTTTTTAAAAGATTTGTTTCATTTCATCAATATTAAAATTGACATCAAAATATTTTTAGTACCATACTGATTTTTAATATAATATTGATCACAAATCACAATAGAAATGGATCCATTGTTTCTTGGATCTATTTTCTCTCTCGTCATCTAATACACCAATAAGTTGGATGTGGTAGTTACAAAAAAAATTAAAAAAATGGTTGGATGTGGTACAAGCTTGAAGGCCTGGTAAGATCTACCATAAATGAAGTACATGGGGTATACCTTTTTTTTATGTATCCCATGAGGAAGTTGGTTTTTTATTTTTCTAATAATAGGCAGCTGAGTTCTAAATTGCTTTTGAATTTTAAATTGTATTGTATATATATGGATTTTGTTAATTATCTATAAATGGAAAGAAACCCACAAAAATAAAATTGTCCCCGAAAGGAAAATGAAGGTGTCATAATAAGTGCAAATATTATATGGGTTTGTGTTTTCTAAAGTTATTTTAGATAATTTTATCTAATGTTCACTAAAACGACGTCGTTTTGGGACGGAAATCATAGTGTTTTTATAATTTTAATTTATTTCAGGGTTATAATAGTCTTTATCATTCTAATTTTTTAATTTTTCAACCCCAAAACGACGTCGTTTTGATGAATGTTAAACAAAGTTATCTAAAGTAACATTAGATACTTTTTTTCCCATATTATATAGACAATTGTTAAAAGGAAAAAATGTGTATCATTTTAAAGGATATCAAGTTGTGTCATTTTAAGTGAGAGAAAGAGATAGATAAAAGAGGAGAGAGTGGACAAAAAAAATATAAAAATATGAGTCTCACCTCTTTGTGAGAATAAAATAACATAAGTTATGTCATTTTATAGAATAATTGTTCGCTTATAAAAAAATGAAATGGATACTAGTTGTAAATGTACATAATCAGATTACGTGTCCAATTCACCCGAAGAAAAAAAAAACCCAAAGATTATATCTTGTGTAAATGTGTGTGTTTATATTACCTTATTTTGTGTTTGAAATAATTTATAATCAAAGGTTTTGTAAGAAAACTATTGAAAAAAATTAATTTTATAGAGAAATTGAAATCCAAACATGCTACTACTATTTGATAAGATACTATTACGCTCTATTAAAAAATATTAAAAAATTAATCATCAAAATCATCTGTCTTTAAATTCATAGCTGTGTTACATATATAGAACCAATTACAAGTTAATTTGAAATAATTTAGGCACCAACCAATATGAGAAAAACAATAATATAATTATAGATATTATTTATCTAAATCTGTAGAACTTGTTCTGTTTAAGTTCTTACTTTCAATGGAATGTTCATCACACCCAAAAAAAAAAAAAAAAAAAATTGTAATGAAAATATAGCTTATCCACATTGAAGTAGAGCGACCGAACAGCAGTTCATCGTATTGAAAATAGATTGTGACTCTGCACTCAACTTTTTGATCCCAAACAAGATTTTAACAAAATATTGAATATATGTACATTCAAGGGGTGAAAAAGGTCCTATTCCCTCACCCAAAAATGTGACTTATCATTCAAGTCTTCTTCTAAGTTTAAAAAATTTGCACTCAACATTGTAATCCTATTATCTCTAATTTCCCAGCTGGTGATTAAAAAAGTATTTAATAACCTTGTCAGTAGTAGAGAGGTATGAGAGAATTACTCTTTGGAAATATTCCAATCGGATCATTGCTTCGCAACTAATCCGATTCGGAGCGGGTCCAGGATTAAGGCTTTAAACTCCTCTCAAAGGTGGTACTGGGAAGATTCAAACACATGCTCTCACCCTCACCTGCTTAGCTCCCATGGTAGAACATCCATAGTATAGTTTGTAAAAATATTATATTAGTTTAACAAACACCCCTTTTGTTTTTCTCCACTTGGTAGTTTTTAAATTTTAATAGCAACAATTTGCAATTACTCTGCAATGTTCCCGAGTAACTTAACATTAAAGAAGAAGCTAACTAACTTTGAATCCGTATTATGGACCGTGCGAATGACCTATGCATATTAATGCTGACACGTGTCATATGCTTGTTCTTGGCATCACAAAAAAAAAAACTCTCAAAGAGTGTTCACATCTAATAATAAATCTTGCAGCTAAATGAGTCCTACCCTCATCAATGTTCTATAAATGCCTCCACATTCTCTTTATGTCCTATACCATCATCACTCCTTTCTCCTCTCTTTGATTCCCTGAGGTTCATTTTGGTGCTTTTCACAAGTTTTGCTAAAGAGTGAAGGGTTAATTTGTGTCTGCTTGCAACAATGGCTATGGCTAGATTACTAGCTGTTTTGATCTTGGCCCTCATTGCCACTTCCATGCTTCAAACAATGGTTGGTCTTTTAAGTTAATGTAGGAAAAAAAATACACATACACACACCCAAAAGGCACACATTCTTAAATATGTTATGTTTTGAAAGGTTCTCTCACATTTTTCTTGCTTGATTTTGTAGGTCTTGGCATCTCATGGACATGGAGGACACCACTACAATGACAAGGTATAACCAAAACTCTCTCCTCTCTTTCTTCCCTCACTTGTTTCACTCACTCTTTGTAGGAGGGTAAAGACCAAAAATCAAAATGGGGTTTTAGAATTTTGCTTTTTGAGGGTTGAATGCTGCATTTGCTGACTTCTATGATGCTTAATTGTGTTTTTTCTCAGAGTAAATATGGACCTGGCAGTCTCAAGAGCTACCGTAAGTGAAGTTCCTTCTACCATTTTTTTTTCCTTCTCCTTGTTTTTTATGTTAAAACAACTTGTAGATCTCTAGAATTTTGAACCAAACCACTACTCCCCATTAAACCCCGGATCCAGCCTTACCCTTAAATATTTATAAAGAGATTGTCTTATACATTCTAAACCATGACCCCGTGACCTTTAGGTAACTAAGGAACAATTTTACTGGTCATTTTATCTCTACAACTCTGAGCATTTTAAAAAAATCTATCAAACATCATCATCATAAATAACGAGCTTGTGTCTCTTAATCAGAAGTCTCGTGTTTAAGCTCTAAGAATGTAAAAAATGATCTTGGGAGAGTCATCTCTTTTTAGAATTTGACAGTACTCGAACCGAACTAGTCCGAAGGTGAGCCAATTGAGGAGACTTAAAAAAAAATAAAAATCTACAACACAAACAAAGAAACTAAGAACAATTTTCAGACAGGAAATGCTGGTTTTCTCATTATGACCATGGTCTCTGCAGTGTCATAGTGTCTTAACTCTTAATCTTTTAACTTTGACTGTGGTCAAAAAAATTTCCTGTAAAAGCTGCATCTTTTGAGTATTTGACTTTAATTTTCTTGATTTTGCTCTTTTTGGATGTGTGATTTGACTAGAATGCCCATCACAATGCTCGAGGAGGTGTGGCCAGACTCAGTACCACAAGCCCTGCATGTTTTTTTGTCAAAAGTGTTGTATGAAATGCCTGTGTGTGCCCCCAGGGTATTATGGGAACAAAGGTGTGTGCCCTTGTTACAACAACTGGAAGACCAAGAGGGGAGGACCCAAGTGCCCTTAAGTTTGTTCTTCATCAAATTAACAGAGATAGCTTTCCATATAATATAATTTCCCTTCTTCCTTTCAATGTTCTAACCAAATACATGCCCTTTTTGGTTGTACTTAATATGTTGTTGTATTGAGGATACTTTTCTAGTTAGTATGTGGGGTCCTCTACATGCCACTCCTTGATGCTTTTTCTCTTCTTTTCTTTGCTTTTAAATGAGTGTGTTTAATGCTATTGCTGTCATCTATGGAACTTCTAATGCTTTGTTATCAGCTTTTTTTTCCTTTGTTGTATGAACAATGGCAAGCATGTTCTTTGTGACAAATTATTATCATGTTTCCAATATTACATAAGTGGCATCAATGCATTTAAGCTTGTGGGTCCTGATAGCATGTGAAGGGACAATTGTGTTATAAAAAAGTTATGATGGCCTAACCAAAAGCTTTTTATCGATTATGATGTTCTCAACAATGAAGTCAAAGATGTTTGTAGTTTTATTTGAGTAGCAGGCTAATGAAGAGAGAAAAGCGCGAATATATACCTTCTCAATTTATCTGGCTGTTTTTCTTCTTAACAATGCAACAGGCATTTTTTTTAAATGTTGTACATAAAAGTTAAATAATGAAATATAAAAAAGAAATGTTATATTTACAAACTACGCTATGTGTAAGACACTCACTCTTGAGTAGAATAGCACTGTTCAGACATAGTGTAGTTTGTAAAAAAAAAATGTTTGTCAATATAACCCTACTCAAAATAAAGTGTATGCTATTTTATAGTAAAACTTATATTTCTGAATTTATAGAGCCAGAAGCACTAATTATGTTTCTTTGCTGCTCTAATATTTTTCTTATGACATAGCCCTTATGAAGAAGCACAAACCTTCGGTCAAAAAATTATATTTCTTGATGGGGCAAGAAATGCAAACACACTTAATTAACTTGATTTGAACAAAGTAAAAAAACCAAATAGTCGTAGCTTAGTTGGCGCATGGGAGCTAAGCAGGTGGGGATGAGAGCATGTGTTCGAATTTCCCTAGTACCACTTTTGGGAGAGGTTTAAAGCTTAATCATGTACCCGCCCCGAATCAGATTAGTTGCGAAGCAATGAACCGATTAGAATATTTAAAAAAAAAAACAAAGAAAAAAAAATTGAATCAAGTCTTCGGGTCTGATTGTAATTTGAATCAAGTAATTAGGGTTTAATTGGAATACTGATGTAAAATATAACTGGCGTAAAATAATTCTAGGATTAAATATACCAAACTTGACATAGGTTGGCTTTAAGGAGTCGAATTTTGCACCCCATTTATGACACAAAGGTTGGAGTTGTGAAGCACCGGCCACCAACCGCACACAAAATTGTTTTCATCTCACCCATAACATTTGTGATCATTGATGACGATCCATGTAAACTTCATATTTCCGGCAAAACTCATTTATGACTTCACGTTACAACACGGATCAAACAACATTCTTGAAGCACGATTGAAGTATTGTATTAGATGTTTAGCACAATTGTGTACTTAGTCTAATTAGTATATTATTGTTATTGTAATTTTCATTGTCCTGGACCGCCCATTAGGACCTATGTTATGGGCTATGGCCCATTAGACAATCTCATCTATAACATCGATTATCTTTTTAAGCTAGAAATTATTTATAAGTTAAAGTTAAAAAAAGAGTTTAAAAATAATAATCTAAAAGTTATTGGTAATTATATTAAATTTTTAGCTTAAAAGTTATTAAAAACACATATTTTTAAGAAAATTATCTCTCTATATTTCTATAGGTTTTCATTTTACAAAAAAAAAAAAAATACAATTCAAGAAAAGAAGATAAGAGCTTAAAAAAAAGCTTCTTCTAGAAGCTTTTAGCTTTTTCCTTTATTATAAAAAAAAGAAATTTTCATTATAAGAGCTTTTTTAAAAACTTATTTGGCCTAACTTATACTTATAAGTAGTTTATAGCTTAAATAAGAAAGAATCCAGGGAGTGGTTTCATCATGTATTATTTATCATATGTGTAGAGAATAGTAATTAAACTTATTCATTGATAGTTAATATCTTTTCACATAAGATGATCTTGTTAAATAATACATAAGATGATCCATTTCTTTCTATTTAATTCTCTCAAATCCGTCGCTTTCCATTAATGCAACATAAAGTTATCATTCACAGGCATTTGAGGCTTCCAAAATTAGTTAGTATCGCATGCATTGCACATGTATTTTTAAATTCAAATAAAATCTTAAAAGTGGTAATACAAATTTTAAGAAACATTTTAAAATTATAAAGGAGATATGCACAGGTTACCAGATAAAGTTGAAAAATATAAATTAAAAGAGTAAACATATTCAAGATTGTAAAAATATATATGTCTACTCATTTCAAAATAACAAGAGAGGAAAAAAAATTAAAAGATCATGTTAGTCCCAACAGAATGTACTTCAGTTTAATATAAGGGAATTAATTTGACATTTTATTAAGTAAATAAACACAAATAAGTGAATAAATATGAAATTGATGAAATAAATAAGCATACAAATAGGTAAAAATTGCATTTTTTTATAAATAAAAAAAGGAAATGCACTTTCTAATAAAAAAGCCATATATATTTAATGGATGAAGAAAATACACCAAAAAATTATCTCACTTTCCACAATAAAAAGAACCTAATTTATTATAGGGATAAATTATATTTATCACAATATTTTTTTACCACCTCTTATAATCAATTTTGTTATTATTGGATCAAAATCAAATCAATAGATTTTATTTGATGTCATTTTTTAACTATTAATTTGATTTTGATCCAATAACAAAAATATTATTGGACTAAGAGAAAAAAAAATAGTTATCATCATTTACCAAATGATGATAACTCTGTTGGCGTCAGGGAACTGAACAGGTGGGAGTAAGAGCATGTGTTTGATCCTCTTCAGTATTGTCTTTGAGAGAGATTTAAAGTCTTAATCTCAAGACCCTCCCCGAATTAGACTAATCACGAATCGATGAACCTATTGAAATATCTCAATATATATATATATATATATATATATATATATATATATATATATATATATATATATATATATATATATATATATATATATATATATATATATATATATATCGTTCATTTTATTATCAAAGGTACAACCTACTTTTATGTTTACCAAAAAAATTATATCCTTCATTTTATTATCAAAGGTACAACCTACTTTTATGTTTACAAAAAAAGAAAAGAAAGAAGAGCATTGTTTAAAAAAAAGAAAAAAAACTTGAGTTAAAGCCCATTGTGATGATGGAGATCACGGCCCGGCCTATTTCGAAATTGAAAAGCCCGACTAAAATCCATTTCCCGCCAAGCCACTACTTTGTTTTTTTTTTCTTTCTAAATTCCAATCACCACTTACTCCCTCGCTTCACAGTTCAAAGCTCGAAAACTCTTCCGAGTTGACTCAATGGAACCGCAGCAGGACGAGTCTGTACCCAACTCAGCTCGTGGACGATCCACGCGCCCCAGGCTCTTCATAAAGGAGATGGTGATGCGAAACTTCAAGTCCTACGCTGGCGAACAACGCGTTGGTCCCTTCCACAAGGTTAGGGTTCTCATTTTCTTTTTTAATTTTAATTTTGAAATTTTTTTTAAATCCTCGTTAAGTTGCTTCATCTTCACTTGTGAACTTCAAAATGAAAGATGAGTGCTTCGTTTGAAAACTGTTTCGTTGATTGGTTTTGGTTTCAGAGCTTTTCCGCTGTGGTTGGACCAAATGGGAGCGGAAAAAGCAATGTGATTGATGCGATGCTGTTTGTGTTCGGGAAGCGAGCGAAGCAGGTACGTACGTGAATTCTGGAATGTTCTAGAAACTAACCAGTGTTTGCAATATTGTTTATTTTTTGTCATTGTGCTTCTTTGATTTGAAAACCGGTACTTGTTGCAGATGCGACTGAACAAAGTTTCGGAGCTTATCCACAATTCCACCAATCACCAGAATTTGGATAGCGCTGGGGTTTCTGTTCATTTCGAGGAGATTGTTGATTTGGTAGCCTTTCTTATTTAAATTTTTGTTATTTACTTAGAAGATGAAATGATATGTTGTTTTTCGAAAACTAATGTATGAATTTTTCTTTTTTTTTCATTCGGTATGTTTTTACGGATATTTTTAAAAATGTTATTTTGTTTTCGTTTCATTCTTTTTTTTTAGAATTTATAACATTAAAACGGTGATATTTGGCTAAATGATCATTTTGCCCCCTATTTTAAAAGGAATTTACCGCTTTGCCCATCTTCCTAAGCTATATATTAAACGTTACAATTTTCAACACGGCCCGCTAATGCGATATGAACACAGCACGAGAAATTTGTGTCCGGGTTGTTTTCAAATTCGTGTTGATAAAAATTGACACGAAAAAATTCGTGTCGTGTTATCTCGCATTGTGTTAAACTGCATAATAAGTGATCTTTATGCTACATTGACTTAAGAGTTAAGGGTTTTACCAACACAAATTCGTGTTGGTAAAAATTCAACTTGCAAACACGAAGCTGACATGTATTAATCTTTTTATAGGTTATTCCTGTCATGTTATCTCGCGTTGTGTTAAACTGCGTAATAAGTGATCTTTATGCTACATTGACTTAAGAGTTTTAAGAGTTAAGGTTTTATTGACTGACCCTTTCTTTATTTTCCATATTTGCTTAAAAGAAATTAAATTATCAATGGTTGCAGGATGATGGAACATATGAAGCTGTTCCAGGAAGTGATTTTGTGATTACCAGGGTGGCTTTCCGGGATAACTCCTCTAAGTATTATGTTAATGATCGTCTGAGTAACTTTACCGAAGTTACCAAGAAACTAAAAGGGAAAGGTGTTGACCTTGACAATAACAGATTTCTGATCCTTCAGGTTGGGTATTTGTTATATGATGCTTTTTAGTTTTTCCAAAGGCATTCCCGTCTATCTCTTGATGTTTAATTTGTTTCTTATCAGGGTGAAGTTGAGCAGATTTCACTTAT